GCAAAGAATACAAATCGCTGCCAACGGAGTCAAACCCAATGCCAATATGCTGTTTCAAATTTGGAGATCTCTCGGAAAACGTTGTGTAAAGTGTATCGATGTTAACGGTGGATTCTTCGAACAATTACTTTAAATCGTAATTACGTATTTTATTTGTTGTATTGTTAATTTTTGTGATAACACGAAGAAAGACTTGGTTTGTTTCGTTTTTAATTTCTCGTATTATTAAAACGGTGTCCGTTAAATCGATTTTTCTCGAAAACGGATCGAGATACCGAAATGAAACAGGAGGACATAATTAATGGAAAAATGATTGCTCTTTCAGATTTTCAATCAAGTTTCATGTTAGACGTAGAGGGTAAAAAATTATTAACTAAATTTTTATGTTCTGGAACGCCAAAGTCTTTTTGGTTGTAGGTCATCGAAATAATTGTGATTTTTTTTCGAAATATGTGTAATATGAAACTTGATTCAAAACCTGAAACAGCTAGTGCCTGCATATTTAGATGCAGTTTTTCTAAATCGCTGGATTGGCCATGTAAGCTTTTTTCCTTGGCCACCCAGAAGTCCAGATTTCAATCCTCTTAATTTTTCTATTTGGTCTCGAATGAAAGATGCAGTTTACAAAGAATCGATTGGTTTGCGTGAAAAGTTGTAGCAAAGAATACAAATTGCTGCCAACGAAGTCAAACCCAATGCCAATATGCTGTTTCAAATTCGGAGATCTCTCGGGAAACGTTGTGTAAAGTGTATCGATGTTAACGTTGGATTCTTCGAACAATTACTTTAAATCGTAATTACGTATTTTATTTGTTTTATTGTAATTTTTGTGATAACACGAACACTTGGTTTGCTTCGTTTTTAATTTCTCGTATTATCAAAACGGTGTCCGTTAAATCGATTTTTCTCGAAAACGGATCGAGATACCGAAATGAAACAAGAGGACATAATTAATGGAAAAATGATTGCTCTTTCAGATTTTCAATCAAGTATCATGTTAGACGTACAGGGTAATAAATTATTAACTAAATTTTCGGTAAAATTGGTCGGAAGTGGCGCCCTCTATGAACAACGCTGAAATTACAACACGCACCTTATTCGTTGCTTAAAAAAATATAGTTTCACAAATTTTTAAGTTCCTAACCTACATATTTTCAGAATAATCGCAAAAAAACGAGTTAAAATTTTAACTTTTCCGAAACTATCAATTTTCGGAAAAAGCATGTTAGACCAGGAAAATTAGCGAAATTTCCTGGTCTACGTATAGTATCTTCAGCTTTCGATTTTCCCATTGTTAACGAATCGCCCTGTATAACACANGGTAAAAAATTATTAACTAAATTTTTATGTTCTGGAACGCCAAAGTCTTTTTGGTTGTAGGTCATCGAAATAATTGTGATTTTTTTTCGAAATATGTCTAATATGAAACTTGATTCAAAACCTGAAACAGCTAGTGCGTGCATATTTAGATTCAGTTTTTCTAAATCGCTGGATTGGCCATGTAAGCTTTTTCGCTGGGCCACCCAGAAGTCCAGATTTCAATCCTCTTGATTTTTCTATTTGGTCTCGAATGAAAGATACAGTTTACAAAGAATCGATTGGTTTGCGTGAAAAGTTGTGGCAAAGAATACAAATCGCTGCCAACGAAGTCAAACCCAATGCCAATATGCTGTTTCAAATTCGGAGATCTCTCGGACAACGTTGTGTAAAGTGTATCGATGTTAACGGTGGATTCTTCTGACAATTACTTTAAATCGTAATTACGTATTTTATTTGTTTTATTGTTAATTTTTGTGATAACACGAAGAAACACTTGGTTTGTTTCGTTTTTAATTTCTCGTATTATCAAAACGGTGTCCGTTAAATCGATTTTTCTCGAAAACGGATCGAGATACCGAAATGAAACAGGAGGACATAATTAATGGAAAAATGATTGCTCTTTCAGATTTTCAATCAAGTTTCATGTTAGACGTACAGGGTAATAAATTATTAACTAAATTTTCGGTAAAATTGGTCGGAAGTGGCGCCCTCTATGAACAACGCTGAAATTACAACACGCACCTTATTCGTTGCTTAAAAAAATATAGTTTCACAAATTTTTAAGTTCCTAACCTACATATTTTCAGAATAATCGCAAAAAAACGAGTTAAAATTTTAACTTTTCCGAAACTATCAATTTTCGGAAAAAGCATGTTAGACCAGGAAAATTAGCGAAATTTCCTGGTCTACGTATAGTATCTTCAGCTTTCGATTTTCCCATTGTTAACGAATCGCCCTGTACAACACAATTGCCTTATTTTATCGCAGTTTTTGAAAAAATATAGTTCGCGTCTCGAACACGAAATGTTTTTGCGTTCTCGAATGGATGTTTCGTCTCGCTAAGTACCATTCCGCGTTCCAGATACAAAAATAGCTATTTCTTTTTTTTTTTTGTGACGTTTAATTCCCTTTCAGACTGGTGAAGAATTGCTACATCAAGCGCTTAGCTTAGATTCCGTCATATTATCCCAACGTATTACCTAATAGGCATTTAAAATGTAAGATATTTCGGTTGGAGGTAAACCTTATATTCCACTAGACGACTTTTTAGAGGTTATTTATTTTATATTGTCCCGGACAAGTAAATTGTTAATAATCATTGTATTATAGATTGTTTTATATATATTTTATATACGTAGTCTTGAATACAAGTTTTTAAAGCTGTAAAAGGAGTTTTTAACACGTTGACTCTCAAAATTATAATTAAGTTACCAAATCGTCGGGCGCTATATATTTTTCTCGTTTCCGAGCATGGGAATTTTTTTTATAAGATATCTTGCGATTATGGTTACCGTTAAGCTGTTTCTTTTACGATTAACGGAAAAAAATGTCCTTAAACGTGTTAAAAATCTGCAGATAAAGTGTATTTATTCCATTTATTTGTAAATTATATTATTTCCTTGTATCTGTGAGATTAAAAATGTTTTATATGATGTTTTTATAGATTTTGTTCCTACGACATATACCTAGATGTAAAACTATTATAATGGCAACTATTTTTTATAAAAAATAAAATTATATACACGTACTTTGTGTTTCACTAGCGCTTAAAAGAATACCGAGTTCTTTCGGCGATTCCACGTTAATGGATATAAAAATCGACAATTAAACGTTTGCGTGTAAATAAAAATAACGTAATAAAGAAATGTCGGTATAAGCTTCGTTCCTAAAACCAATAGAGCGAAAAACGAGGCTGTTTTTACACTTAAATCGTAAACAAACTGCAAAAATGACTTGTTTTGGTTTTTTTATAGTGTCTCGAAATATAATAATGGAATCGTCTTACTTTTGTATAAGACTTTTGTAGAGAATAAAAAACACCCTGTAAAATGGTTTTTTGTGCGACCCGATCGGTTCACTTTTTACAGAGAAAATCTGGAAAAACTTCTAAAATAGACCTTTTTTCAAAAATTCTTAACTCCGTCAAATTTGAAGCTGGAAAAAAAATCTTGCGGAAAATGACCGAATAATATGTAGTTTGCGCAAGATGGTTTCGGTCCGATGCATAGTTTTTGCGCAATAAACAAATTAGGGTCTTTTTTTGCATAGCGTGGCGATTTATCAAAAATGGTCGATTTTAATTCTGAAAGTAGACGACAAAATCTCCAATTTGTATATCTCGGATTTTTGCCTGGGTGATGGGAAATACGCTAAAAATTCCCTTGAAAGTCGCCCGAAGCAATCGAAAGTACGCTCCACGCGGTAATGGGAAAACAGGGAATGGAGGACTCTGGCACGAGCGTACTTTCGATCGTTTCGGGCGACTTTCAAGGGAATTTTTAGCATATTCCCCATCATTCAGCTGAAAATCCGAGATATACAAATTGGAGATTTTGTCGTCTATTTTCAGACGCCATTTTCAAAATTCAAATCGGACCATTTTTGATAAATCGCCACGCTGTGCAAAAAAGACCCTAATTTGTTTATAACGCAATTGTGCAAAAACTATACGTCAGACAGAAACCATCTTGCTCACGATTAAACTACACATTATTTTCTGTTATTTTCCACAAGATTGTTTTTCTAGCTTCAAATTTGACGGAGTTATGAATTTTTTAAAAAAAGGTCTATTTTAGAGGTTTTTCCGGATTTTCTCTGTAAAAAGTTAACCGATCGGGTCGCACAAACCATTTTATAGCTTTGCTGTTCAAATCACTTGTGTTTTTGTTTACTAAGTATTTTTCAAAAGGCGTCCACTTCACTGAACTAATAATTTATTGGAATGAAGTGTTTCTAATAGCACGAAAATTTTCATAAAAGTGTCTAGAGGTGGTTCCGTACAAGGATTTTAAACAAATAAAAAAATAAAAAATGTATAAAATGTGTGTTTGTATAAAATCCTTGGGTTCCGTATGCATCTGGGGTCGCGAAACACGACTGTATCCGTTTTTGTGCAAGTGCTTCCGTCGAGAAAAAAAAACGAAAACTGGAGGAGTTAGAGAGGAACTGAATGCACTTTTGGATTGGAAATTTTCAAAAATTTAAAGTACTCATCTAAAAGCTGTTTTGTCTCAACTTTGAGAATATTTGTACGGAGCTTCCTTAACGTAATTGCACTGGCTGTAGCTAGGAAGAACTGACGTTTCTGCGTAGGTGAGATATATTGTTCCCATGTCTTTCTTTCGTAAACCGTTAAGCTATAGTAGAATATATGGAAATTCTATTACTGTTCTATGAATAAAGGAAGATTTATTTATATTTGTGTTGTTCATTTTTAATCCATTTACCCATAATCTTAATACTTATTAATTAAAGGAACTCTTATGTAGCCAAGTATACACACGTATGTATTGTATGTTGCCTACCTAACAAAACCTTAAATAGAACCAACAAAATATAAAATATCTCGAAAGAAAAGAAAAAATTTTGGGAGTTCGGAAAAATCTGAAAAAATTCCTCTAGACTATAACGGTCCTAGCAAATCCAAAACTGAAATGAATTTCTCTCTAGCTCTCGTGATTTTCATGTAGAGATGTATTGTTCCCATGTCCTCTATTTTTGTGAACTGTGCTAGATTAGAAAATACGGAAATAATATTACTGTTCTTTAACTAATGGAAAATTTATTTATAATTGTGTTGTTAATTTTTAATACATTTACACACAATTTTATAATACGTATTAATTATAGGAACTCTTATGCAGCCAAGTATACACTCGTATGTATTGTATGTTGCCTACCTAACAAAACCTTAAATAGAACTGGAAAGAAAATATAAAATATCTGGAAAACTGGTACAGCTACTGAGGAATTGACAGCAGTTTTGAATTGGTCAGAGTCGTTATTGTCTACCTGAATTATTTCAGAATTTTCAGAGTTGTAAATATTTTTGAAAAAATCGATTATAGGTCATCGATTTTTCGGAGAAAAAATATTTGGAGCTCGGAAAAATCTGAAAAAATTCCTGTAGACTATAACGGTACTGTCAAATCCAAAACTGAATGTTCCCATGTCTTATTTTTGTGAACTGTGCTACATTAGAAAAAATACGGAAATAGTATTACTGTTCCATAACTAAAGGATGATTTGTTTATAATTGTGTAGTTCATTTTTAATACATTTATCCATAATCCATATTATCCATAGTATATATGTCTATACAATTTTAGATTTTCTTATGCAGCCAAGTATACAATAGTGTATTCTGAGTTGCCTACCTAGCAAAAACTTATTTGAAACCGGAAGGAAAAGAATAAACATTCTCGAAAACTGGAAAAGCTAAAGAGGAATTGATAGCAGATTTGGATTGGTCAGGGACGTTACTGTCTACCTGAATTTTTTCAGATTTTTCAGAGTTGTAAAAATTTTTGAAAAAATCGATTTTTCAGAGAAAACATTTTTGGAGCTCGGAAAAATCTGAAAAAATTCCTCTAGACTATAACGGTACTGGCAAATTCAAAACTGAAATAAATTTCTCTCTAGCTCTCGTGATTTTCGAGATTTTCATGTAGAGATATATTGTTCCCATGTCCTCAATTTTTGTGAACTGTGCTACATTAGAAAATACGGAAATAATATTACTGTTGTATAACTAAAGGAAGATTTATTTATAATTGTGTTGTTCATTTTTAATATATTTACACATAATTTTATAATACTTATTAATTATAAGAACTCTTATGCAGCCAATTATACACACATATGTATTGTATGTTGCCTACCTAACAAAACCTTAAATTAAACTGGAAATAAATTATAAAATATCTGGAAAACTGGTGGAGCTACTGAGGAACTGACAGCAGTTTTGGATTGGTCAGAGTCGTTATTATCAACCTGAATTATTTCAGAATTTTCAGATATGTAAAAATTTTTGAAAAAATCGATTTTTCGGAGAAAAAATTTTTTGTGTTCGGAAAAATCTGAAAAAATTCCTCTAGACTATAACAGTACTGACAAATCCAAAACTGAAATGAATTTCTCTCTAGCTCTCATGATTTTCATGTAGAGATGAATTGTTCCCGTGTCCTCTATTTCTGTGTACTGTGCTACATTAGAAAATACGGAAATAATATTACTGTTCTATAAGTAAAGGAAAATTTATTTATAATTGTGTTGTTCATTTTTAATACATTTACACATAATTTTATAATAATTATTAGTTATAGGAACTCTTATGCAGCTAAGTATACAAAAGTGTATTCTGTGTTGCCTACTTAAGAAAAACTTAATTGAAACCTGAAAGAAAAGAATAAACATTCTCGAAAACTGGAAAAGCTAGAGAGGAATTGACAGCAGATTTGGATTGGTCAGGGACGTTACTGTCTACCTGAATTTTTTCAGATTTTTCGGAGACCTAAAAATGTTTAAGAAAATCGGAGCTCATGAGAATTGTAACAAAATTGAAGTGCGTTTCTAAAGACGGTTCCGTAGGCAACTGGGGTCGCCATACAAGCTGTGTTGGTCAATTTTTGTGCAAGTGTTCCGTCGAGAAAAAATAGAAAATATCGAAAACTGGAAGAACCAGAGAGAACTGAACGCAGTTTTGGACTGGTTAGCGCCGTTATAGTCTGCCGGATTTTTCTCAGAATTTTCATAGTTATAAAAATTTTTGATAAAATCGAAATATTAGCAAAAAATTAAAGTGCTCGTCGAAAAGGAGTTTTGTCTCAACTTTGAGAATATATTTGTTCGGAGCAGAATGAAAAGTTGCTTCCTCAAAGTGATCGCACTTGCTGGATCGAGGAAGAACGGTCGTGTTTCTGCGTAGGTGAGATGTATTGTTCCCACGTCTTTCTTTCGTGACCTGTTAAGCTATAATAGAAAATACGTAAATTTTATTACTGTTCTAGGGATATAGGAAGATTTATTTATATTTGTGTTGTCCATTTTTAATCCATTGACTTATAATGTTATATTTATTAATTATAGGAACTCTTATGCAGCCAAGTATACAAATTAGTGTATTGTATGTTGCCTACCTGACAAAAATAATAGAACGAAAGAAAATATGAAATATCTCGAGAACTAGTGGAACTACAAAGGAACTGACATCAGTTTTAGATTGATAAGGGCCTATATTGTCTACTTGAATTATTTCAGAATTTTTAGAGTTGTAAAAATTTTTGAGAAAATCGATGGACTAGGGAATTAATTTTTCAGAGAAAAAAATTTTGGAGCTCGGAAAAATCTGAAAAAATTCCTCTAGACTATAACGGTACTGACAAATTCAAAACTGAAATGAATTTCTCTCTAGCTCTCCTGATTTTCGAGATTTTCATGGAGAGATGTATTATTCCCATGTTCTCTATTTTTGTGAATTGTGCTACATTAGAAAACACGGAAATAATATTACTGTTCTATAACTAAAGGAAGATTTATTTATAATTGTGTTGTTCATTTTTAATACATGTACACATAATTTTATACTTATTAATTATAAGAACTCTTATGCAGCCAATTATACACACGTATGTATTGTATGTTGCCTACATAACAAAACCTTAAATAGAACTGGAAAGAAAATATAAAATATTTCGAAAATTGGTGGAACTACAGAGGAACTGACAGCAGTTTTGGATTTGTCAGGGCCGTTATTGTCTACCTGAATTATTTCAGAATTTTCAAAGTTGTAAAAATTTGTGAGAAAATCGATCATTAATTTTTCAGAGAAAAAAATTTTTGAGCTCGGAAAAATCTTAAAAAATTCCTCTAGAGTATAACGCTACTGGCAAATCCAAAACTGAAATGAATTTCTGTCTACCTCTCCTGATTTTCGAGATATTCAATTTTTTTCTGCGGGAAAGCAACTTACAGAAAAACGGAGGACATCGCCATAATCCACAGCCCAAACTAGACATGGTGCCTTTTTAGACATTTAAATTTTTTGAGAATTTTCATGTAGAGATGTATTTATTGTTCCCATGTTTTATTTTTGGTAATATTAGACAATTCAGAAATAATATTAATGTTCTATAACTAAAGGAATATATTTATAATTGTGTTGTTCATTTTTAATACATTTATCCATAATCTACAATAGTATAATATATGTATATATAATTCTAAAATTACTGCTGGCTACATAAGAATATCTAAGTATTCTTATGCAGCCAAGTATACACATGTAGTGTATTATGTGTTGCCTATGTAACAAAAACTTAAATGGAAGTAGAAAGAAAATAAAAATTCTCGAAAACTCGAAGAGCTAAAGATTCTGTCGAAAATTGTCAAAAAATTAGTGCGTTTCTAAAGGAGGTTGCGTACGCAACTGGGGTCGCCAAATACGCTGTGTTGGTCGGTATTTCCGACGAGAGATAAAATCGAAAATCTCAAACACTGGAGGATGTAACTGCGATTTAGCTGCTAACTTTTGAATGTTCTTTTATTCCTCATTTTATAGAAATGGGCTATAACATCTATTTTATAAACATTTGCTCTACAGGCTATTTCCGATATTTAAAAATAGAAAAATAGATTCTATGTCACATTTAAAAATTGTTATATTTCACCAGAGTCAAAACAAACTTCTGACCTTGCACTTGAGGTGGTTTTGTATTTGTACATTCTTTAAAGAGCAGCACATTATTAGGATTTCTATTCCTAAAGACAGTGCTGTAGATTTTATTAAAGAAAAATATTAATATTCCTACTAACTTTGTTATTGTGTCATTATAATTAGCACTATTAAGTAGTCTAACCTAAATATTAAGCTGTGCTTGTAATTCAAATATTAAACAAATGTTTTAAATATTACTCACCTTATCTTGCATAATATTAATTAATTTCCCGCGTTTTTGAAAATTTGATATAGGTACCAAAATATTATGATTTAGTTCAATTAAACTTGATACTTAATAGATCTAAGTGAGAAAGTTGAAAACTTACTTTAATTAATTTCAAAACTCTGTTATTTTTACCTAAACTATATGCTGTTTTTTTTTATATTTTAATTTTACTTAAAATTTACTAAACTACTAGTGTAAAAATTCCACTATTTTACGATTTATAAGAATTCAGGGAAAAGCTAACACAAGCAACATGCCAGCAGATCCAAATACCTACATACAATAATTGGATGTTTCTCTCTAAAGTTTGATCACTTTCTTCATATTTTTTGCAGAGATCTGTCGTTTACTTCGCGAACGGTTCGTGAGAAAAAAACGAATGAATTTGCTGAACCAAATGAATCAGTTCAGTATTCGCAAAAGAATGGATACTTTTCTGATTTAACAACTCCGGGACTTGGACAACTAATTTTGTTTCGAACGATCAACGAAGCAGTTTCTAAAAAAAGAAACTGATGTTTCACAGAAGAAAGCAATCTCACGTAGGCGCGTAATTACCCAAAATCGTCCCTGCTCGTGACGCCCATGTGGAGGACACCTTCTTCTGACGTCAAACTAACATCACGCGCAAGTCCAAGGTCGCCACATAAGTCTCTAGTGTCACTTTCGTTCATATTTAGTGTTCAGAGGTTAGTTCCGTTGATTAAAGCTGCGGTAATTACCATCAATTGCGAATAGCTAGTTTTTCTATTTTAGTTTGTTCTAATTCACATTAATCATGTCCTTAAGTGAGTTTTAGTTTCGTTACTTTGATTTACCTTTTGCTTTACTAATTTCCATCCTTGTCTGCTAATGGAATTTTTTTTGCCATTAGTGATGTAACATTTTCGATTTTCTCGTAGCACAGCTGATGTATTTTGTTTTTGCTGTTTTAATCACTGATTTTATTGTGTCAATTGATTTGTAGCTGCCATGGGCGAAAAAAGCATATATTTCGAACAGGAGTCCCAGTCGGACAGGCTGGTGAGAAAGTCCAAGGAAACTCCATTCTTTCCAATCGGTAAGAAACCTTTTCTTTATATTACAAAAAACCTTGCTTCCGAATATGTCGACCATAAGAACGCGGTATCGTACATACAAAGACTTTCCTGGCCATGTCTAGGGAAGTTAGGATTCTATTACTGCTTTAGCAATGCAGAAATAACAGCGGAAACTGCTATTTTTGTTGTTGCATAATTTTTTGACGTTAAATCTACACTATTGGAATTTATATCTTAAGTTTATTAATTGTGATAAAACCGTATTGTGCATTAGACTGTCCAAAAAAAACTAGATAAGATAGGTAAAGGATGTATCGTCCTTTTTACCCAGGCGTGATATCAAATCAGATTTGAAATTGGATTACTTATTGAGATAACAGTATTACCATATAATATAAGAAAAGTAATTGTTTATTTTAATATGCCCAAAGAATAGCTTGAAAAAACTATCGCAACAAAATTTTTCAATGAAATTTTGCCATTTTTCAAACGCGTACAGCTCCGTCGATTTTTATCGAATCAAAACGATTATTTTTTCATTATGTAGGTAATTATCTGTACTTTAAGAAAAGATCTATGCGAAATGGATGTGAATCGATACCGCACCTCCATGTCCTGATAAAGCCCAAGCATTTTTTTCTTAAAAAATTGTATTGCTTGTTACGGTACCAGTATCGCCCCGATCTTTTTTCAAAAATAACACATAGACCATCGCAAAGTGCACTTTCTAACAAGCAATTTGAAAATAAAGATCAAGTCTATAATTTTTTTTGACGTTATTCGTACGTTTTTAACGAATAACACCAGCATCAACATTCGCGATACTGCGGCAGTGCGGTCCCTAATTTGACACATGGTTCACATAATCGGCCCCTTTCAGGGACAAATAAATTTCAAAATAGCATAACTCGGTCAAAAAAAATCATAGACGACTTTTTTTGCAATTCGCTTGCTACAAATTGCACTTTATGGTGGTGTGTTATTTTCGAAAAAAATCTGGGTGGTCTAGGTAACGTGTCATGGAGATTCGGCATCAACTCGCATCCATTTCACATATACTTTTCTTTAAAGTACAGATAATTACCTACAAAATGAAAGAAAAATCGTCTTGATAAGATGAAAATTGACAGAGCTATGCGCAGTAGAAAAATGGCAAAATTTCGATGAAAAATTTTGTCGCCAAGTGCACAAACTCATACATTAAAAATATATCGGAAAGTACGTGGAAAATACATTGCTAGGGAATTACTATAGGTTGAGTAATCGAATTTATTAGGGAATCTCCAAACATTGCCACATACTGTTTGTTCTAGATAAGACAGTCCAAAGTACAATACAAACGATTCCACTTTAGCAAGTGATAAGTTGTGTCTACCACATCATTGTTTCAATGTCATTAAGCTGCAATTTAGTTGAAATAAACAGTTTTATACAGACAAAGCATGTGATCGTTTCATGTCAAGCTTAAATTGGTTCTTGGAATTGGAGTAATTTTATGATTAACTTTTCATATCACCATTGTAACATTGAACCGAAGTCGTTTGTATTAAGAAATATTTACTACAGTTTTAATGAAATTTATCATTCATGTAAAACATGTTTCTGTAAGTTTGTGATAGAACGGCAATGCCAAAATCGAAAATTGCTTCATTTTTGGTAACTTTAAAAGTTTGATATGCGGTTGATGTTTTTTATTGAAAAAATGTAACGACAAACCATTCATTGCAGCTATTGGTGTGTGCACGGCTGCCGTGGCGTATGGAGCTTACGCTTTCAAAAATAGGGGAAAGATGAGTACTAGTGTATACCTCATGCATCTTCGAGTGGGAGCGCAGGGTGCAGCCGTGGGTTCTTTAACGTTGGGTCTGATATACACCATGGTGAATCAATATATACTGAACAAAAAGAACTAGGGACATGTATAGTTCGTCGTAATAGAATATAGTATTCATTTTAAGTTAGTGTTTAATTATTTATATATGTCATCGTTTGGTTGCCAAACCGTATATTTTTTTGACGAAAGTTGCGTACAATACTGAATTTGTGTACGTTTTAGGAAATGTACTGTTATAAGTTGTTTCGTTGTTACACCTATTGTGATAATTAGATGTATTGCATGAACATTTTTTTATCAGTTGCATTAACTATAACTTATTTTTGAGAAATAAAATTATTTTGTTTAAGATTGTTATTTATTTCCAGAACCAGATGTATTAAATCTATTTTATGTATTGTCAGTATCTTAACACACTGAAAAAGTTTAACTTTTAACCCGTTTCAAAAATTTAAAAAGTCCCGCGCGATTTGCTTATTCGAATATGAAGAAGATGAGGAGACCTGAGCGGTTTTCGGGTGCTGCGATTGGAGCACTTCAGAGCGTTCTAAAGGTGCAAGTGGAGTGCTCTGGAGCGCCCCGGAGTGCTCTAATCGGTACCCCCGAAAGCAGCTCTGCAGTAAGGTGTTCAGTGTTCTTACTTAGACTTATGGTAAGGCAGAAAGGAATGAGGTTATGATTTATTATGTTATTTGCACAATCCCTAGATAAATGATGCTATAGATAGGAAACTTGAACAGATTTCGTGGTCATTAACAACGCTAACTGTCGACACTTTATCCAACTTCTATTGCTTTCCTTTTCTAGGAATTATCGGTAATACAGTGAGTTAAATTACCTTTAGCCAGTAAAAGATGCAAGCGCCATCTAGTTGTACGCTCTACAACTATATACCTACCTACTCAATATTTGTTTTAGGTATTCTGCCGCCGCTAAATTTAAAATTACATAACAAATCTCACCCTACACAGATCACTCAGAAATTGATTTTGTAAAATAATTTTCACGTAGATAATTTTTTTTGTCACCATGAGAAAATAAGTACATTTGATAAAAAGCATTAAAATCACTCAAGCATTAAAGACACTTTTAAATGCTCTAATAGTCTTACTACTTAAAATAAGAAATAATTTTGATACTGTAACTTTTTAAAATGTTTGTTGAACAAATTTCAAATTTCAGTACATATTTTGAAAAAAAAAGGTGAAAATGATTATAGAGTTTCAGTGCTTTCTATATTGTATTAGCTTTCACGGTGAATAAAAAAATATTACAAGTAAATAATTTTACTAAACCAATCTTTGATTAATTCTTGTAATAGAGAATTATTATGCAACTTTAAATTTTTCGTTGTGTTGATAACCATAAAAAAAACTACCTACCTCTGATCACATTTTTTATTAAAAAAACAAAAAAACAACATTTTATTATTAATAAAAAAATATGATTATATGATGATCAGACATTATTATGTTATATAAATAAATGTGAATAAAATATCTAATAAAACACACTAAAAACACAAATAAAACACACACCAACACTCGCCAAACCTAACCAACAATAAACAATAAACATGAACAAGAATGAATGAAATGATTCATAATTGGAATTGTCAAAATTTATTCTACAAAATCTTTGTGGCGACATCTATAGACTCTTTCCCCAACTTGCATATCCATCTCAAGTCACGTGGTTCCCAGTTTCCCCATACCCCATATTTTCAAGTATAAGTTCTCGGGTCCTGGCACAATCTGTGGTTATGTGTGAAAAGCAGTGTTGCCACTTGTAACATAATTATTGAATTGTAACATATTTTTCACTTAAAATTATACTAAACAATAGCATGTAACATAATCGATAATTGTAACATATTTTTTAATTTCCCTAAAAAAATGTAAAAATCATGAAGCTTACCAGCAATTAGGCCACGCTTGGCCCTTTTTGCCTACTAACTTACATTATCCTCCACCTTAACAATCACAAACATTCATGGGTACGGCAGGAATATACCGATTCTGATTCGGAAAACAAAGCAGAGATTTCAAAATGTAAACAGGCAAGAAAATAAAGCACAAAAATATAGAGTTGATTGGTAAAGCACTCCTGATTTTAAAGGAATTCAAAGATGAAAGATGAAAGTTTATCCATTTTGAAATGGAATATATTATTTTTTTATATTTTTTAGTTAAATTCTTTATTTTTTTCGAGGGTTTCCTTGATTTTTGTAAAATGTTCGTTTTATATATATACATTTTTTTTATTTTAAAGAAATACTTATTTGTAACATAATTTTCTGGAAAAATCGATAATTTTGGCAACACCGTACCATAATTTTTTCATCGGTCTGTGGCATCACTGGTGAAAAGAGAAATAGGCTGCTTTTCTGAAACAGCTCCCTACACTTAAAATTACAACGTACTTTGTATTGTCAGTGAGATTTCCAATGAATTTTATTTACGGAAACGATCCATTCGTGGTTTTCGGGAATTTTCAAGGGAAAATCGATACAAGAACAAGATACAGTGTCAGGAACAAAATGGCCATCTCTACCTAATCTATGATGACTTTATTGTAGTTGTACTTGTACATCTTTACAGGTAGCGTTATCAATTTTCAAACGATTTAGATTCAAAATGAGTGATGGCAAGCAACAACAAAAAATTTTCTGACATACTAAAAGTTGGCTATAAGGAAATTAAACAGTATTAATAATTGTTGATTAAGTGAACATTCAAAAAAAAGTATACGGAAAAGTTTGCATTAAATTGTTAATCAATCGAAAAACCCAAGTCGATTCATTGAAAACTTTCGGAGTTGTTAAAGTTGACAGTTAAAAGTGGTTTCTTGAAAAATGCTTTCAGTGTGTTGCTTTTCAGCATAAGAAATACATTATATACCTTTAATCTGCGATGCCTGCACTATACAGGGCGTTTCGTATAAGAACCGACAGTGTAGGGGCATGTAGGGGAACCCAAAATATGGTGATTTAACGCAACTTACCTTTATACTAAGAAATGAGAAGTTACAGGCCTTGAAAGTAGGATTTCAAATTTTGAAAAAAATCTTATACTGAATCCAAATATTCTAATTCATGAACGCATAAAAGGACAATTTTTTTTTATTTCTCAACGGTTGCTATGACAAAAAAAAATCGTAAATCGTAAATATTCGACGTAAAATCTTCCGAACTTTTAGAATCTGTGATCAGATTCCTCGAAAAATGCAGCTGGAAGCACAAATTTTTCACTTCCAATTTTTTTTCAAACTGGATTTCTGCTTCGAAATCACAAGGATTTATAAGTGAAGTGAAAATATCGTGACATACGACCCTAAACTCAAGATGCGTGCATCCAAAAATTGTTTTTTGGGGTCTTAGCGACCAAAATGCTGGCTCAAAGGAGAAAAAACCTCAAAATCTTTATGAATTTTTTTTCTTGGTCGATCCGAGACGCAAGCTGGCATCTATAACAGCTGACAATAGCAAGCATCCTCATGAGTTACGGTGTGGTTATTTTCGGTAAACGACCGCCGTGACCTGAAATAAATAATTTTTGAGGGGAGGTACTGAAACACCACGTAATCATTATTCTCAATTTAATTTTCCATAAGAGTGGTCTTTACTCAAACACTTGATTGTAAAGGGGAAAACATACATTACATTATTATAAATCGATAGAAGCAAAATTCATAATTCTTTATATATTATATACATTTTAAACGGGTTTACACAGTTTCAAAGGTACCATCAAGAAATAAATAAAAAATATAAACTGGTAATAATATACAAAGGAAATGCTACTCGAGCCATTAGAAAATCGTAATCGCCACCGTCCCGGCAGACGATCACCCGAATAACTTAAAATATCTTCCTACGTAATGTGATCCACAGAAATTAGTCCACAAAAAAATTATGTATATGAGCAAATGTGAACTTACATATAAACACTAGTATCATATATTGCACGAAAACATTAAACTATTATATAAAGAATTGTACAAACACACAGTATATAAATTAATTTATATTATTCATCGAAATGACACTTTGACATACTACTTACAATAAGGAATTGCACGAATATGCTCTTGTTCTCATATCACATATCATATGCGGATATTTCATTTTTATTCGAGAATTGCATTCTTGTCATTTGCAACAAATGATATAGCTAGAGGAACAGATTCGACGGTTCAAATAAAACCATCGTCACAGTGACAAATTTTAGGACATTAAACATTATATCAAAAAGCTTTCTTCGCTAGATACGTTCATTAATCGTAAAATGGATCTTAAACGAGATTCAGAGAGCCAAGGCGTGCGATTTTATGGGGACGTTGAAGTTCTCGCCGTTTTCCGACAGATGGCGCTACCAGAATTGCAAGCGTCTAAGGTGGTAACGCGCCTGTAAAGAAGTACTACAAGCAAGCTTGAATATTTGCGTTTCTTTATTCAAAAGAAANTTCAGAGAGCCAAGGCGTGCGATTTTATGGGGACGTTGAAGTTCTCGCCGTTTTCCGACAGATGGCGCTACCAGAATTGCAAGCGTCTAAGGTGGTAACACGCCTGTAAAGAAGTACTACAAGCGAGCTTGAATATTTGCGTTTCTTTATTCAAAAGAAATCTGTAGCTAGAATCGCAAAAACGCAAAGATTAGTTCAAACGTTCAAAATTAGTTATTTTCGAAAAACAATAGTTTGGAATGACTCAAAAGCAAGGACATCGGGTGCCGTACGAGTTGAAGCCGAGAGACGTCAAACGGTGTCCTTCAGTTGTGAACGGCTGCTTCAAAGGCGGAAAAGAAAAAAAAAATAAAGTTATCGTATCGTATGCTACGATAACTTTAAGGATAGAAATTCGTGGGGTAAGCCCCACAGGTCGGAAGCTTCTGTTCTGAATTTGGATCAGCTTAAAATAAAATGCTGCCAGAAAGAGGGGCTAGTGATAGAAGATATTTTCAGTAACACGTTTTTACTAATTCTTTTAAATAAAGCATCGATTTTGACAAAAAAATAGCGAGAACTTATTTAACATCCCCATAAATGTCCATATTTTGCTGGATTATTACAAGAAACAGTATTTAAGTAGACATTTTAACCGCTATCCGCTAAATCGCTTTACTTGTGCTTTTTCTAGCCCGTTTTAACATAATCGGCTTGATGGAGTCGCTACGCTACAAGCAAAGAATAGATTTTACCAAAATTCGACAGACTAGTATGAAAATATTGGGAAAATATTTATTTCAATGATCGGTGTCTTTATTTTTTATTTTCTGTGCGGAATTTGACTAAAAGTTGTAATTTTTTTAATGACAGGTTTGCGTTTTGTAATATTTAAGGGGTTATACGCAGTTGCAAGGCCAAAATAAACCTTTTTTTTTTATGAATTTTTTCTGAAAAGGTATTTTATTTTACAAAAACAAAAAGTGTTGGTACATTTAGTGGCAACATCTAAGTTTATAGTGGCACTAATGATTTGTAAAAATATTGATCTGGTGTGCTCCTGCAGACGATCTCCTGAAGGTCCTCTAAAAAAAGGTGTTCGGCGGTGACCGCGATTTCTCTGGTTTAGTTGATCTGAAATCAAAAAACCGAAAAGATTCTTTTAGTGAATAGATAAAACTAGGTATTGATCGAAGGAATAATAGAAATTTTGATTTTTGACAAAAAAGAAAGTTAAAACTGAACACATGACTATGTACAACGTGGCAGAACTGTTTGTTTGAATTGTTGTGATGTTCACTTATTTC